GGGAAAGAGCAGCACGGGATATTAACCTGGCCATGGTGCTATTCCAGGTCCTGCTTGAGAATCTGGATATCCAACACAGTCGCTTTGTCCAGGAGGAGTCATTCTTACTGCAGCACAACATTAGACGCTATAAACAGAACTTTCAGGTTTGTCTGGATGGGATTTATTGCATCCGTTTACAACAAACAAATAAATAAATAAAAAGAAAAAAAAATCACCATGAAGTCACAGCTTTGTTTTGAATTTTGGAAATATCCAGTGTGCACAAGAGAACATTATAATTGTTCTGGTTATCCTCCCTAACACTGGCTCAATAACTTGTTTCATGGCTGCGATTGTAATTTTAAGTTACTGATTTTAACTGTGTGACTTATCTGCCCTAACAGAAGTACCTGGATGACCCGTGTGCTTTGGCAAGTACCATCCATTGGTTTTTGGAAAAAGAGAAGGAAATCCTGCAGAGTGCTGATCTGGCTGAGAAGGTTTTCAAAACTCTTAAATTAGATTGCTGACACATACAGTATAATAGATTGCACACACCCTGTAGATCATTAAAAAAACAGCATGCAAAGGGTATGTTTAAAATGTTCAGTATGAATTCCCATTCAGTTTCTGTCTCTTTCCAGTTAGTCTGAAAAACCAATTTGCAGTTATTTGGAAAGGCTCACATGTACTGAATATAAAATGGAGTCAGTGTGTGGGCTTAAAAGCTAAGATTTTCCACTAAACAGTAACATTGTTTAAACTGCTACCTTCTCTCACATTTATTCTTTGATCCCTAACAGTATTACCCATTATCACATCTGAAACACTCCCACTCTCTATACTACTGCCTGTCTTTTATCTCAGGTCCAGTATTTGCAAGTGGAGCAGGAAGCCATGGAAATGAGCAGCCAGCAGGACCTTGAACGTAAAATGGCTGGCCTCAGGAATGAAGTGCAGGTACAGATTAAGGCCATCTCTATAATTATGTTATGCTTGTCTAGATGAAGGATATTACAGTTCATCCATTATGTTTTTTTCTCTGCACTTTTACGGTACAGTGCATGGATCATGCAATACTATGTCTGGAGGAGCAGCAAGATGAATTTGATTTTAAATACCAAACCCACCAGATGGAAGGTAAGCAGATTAAAAAGTTCTGGCTTCACTTGCATGCTCTTGTAGTGTACACTGAGGATGAGTAATAGAGTAGCCTGAATCACAGCCACATGTTCTCTTTTGTTTTGATCTGTCTCATACGGAAACTGTGACCCCACTGTGGAAACTGTTATACAGCTGTGGTAGATGAGGCAGTGAAGAAAGACCAGATGAGAGATCTTCAGTTACTTGTCAACAGACTGGATGGGTGCAGAAAGGTATGGCGTTGTTAACAGAGATGTAATAGTATGAAATGTAACATCATAATTATAGTGACCCAAATTATCATAGTTATCATTATTATCACGGTACTGTTAAAATGTGTTACAAAGTACTTACACTAATGGAAATCATTAATTTAATGTTTTACTGAAAACCAGGAATAATTATTAGCACTACTATGCATTGTGTGTGCATGAACATTAAATAAAATAGCATAGCCAACAGCCATAGCCTTCTGTAGACATTAAAAAACGTATCAAATGTGGGTTTGTGGGGTACTGGGTTTGCCTGCTGCATGTCCACTCTGTAAACAAGGGAATAGCAAATGTATTTATTATTTTATTTGTGAAATTATTAATATAGCTCTCTTCCTCTCTCTTATAGACACACATACACACACTTTTATTTTGAATCTTCTCTGTTGCATCTGAGTAGATAAAAACGAATGAGTCCTCAGCCACAGAAAGTAATTGTAAGGAGCATATTTTCAACCAAGTCGACAGCTGTTGGATTTTAAATGAACAAAATGTGTTAGTTGAGTGACTACACTACATAAAGTGTTATTGTGTGCAGTCAGCGAATAGACACACGATGGATACTGCAGCAGAACAACATGAAGTGTCTTTTACAAGACTACAGTAGGTAACGCTGAAAGCTTAATGACAAGCTGCTTGCCCTGTTCCAAAGTCCTTACCTTGCATTTACTATAAAGTAGAGGGTGATGGTCAGATGAATCAAAAGATTTCAAATGTTGCCTCCTTTTGCAGCATGCTTTCTGCAGAACATGCAGAAAAAGTGTTGTCACTCAGGCTGTCACTGCATTCTGCCATGTTTTCACTGACCCATACAAACCCATGTTGCATACTGCACTTCCATCTGAAAACCTCTAGCTAACTTTGGTTGATCCTGGACAGCATTTAACCTTTTAGTGGTAATCAATCACAGTTTTAATGATATTTCAAATTTGATGTGGTAATACTAACTGTCGAGAATTTTACCATGGATTCCTGTGACACTGGTAACAGTTTCATCTCTAGTTGTTAATATGTTTAAATAACACCATCTCCTTAGTCCAATTCTTTTTCTCTTTTTTTATTTATGTTGTGTTCTTTTTTAAAATTTTCTCTTAACAATTACCCCCTTAGAACACACTGTCAGACCTAAATAAGCTCCTGGACAGAACTGAGGACCTGATCAACATACTGGAGAAGAAGGAGCTGGTGGAGTGGCAGAGGAGGCAACAAAAAGCCTGCATTGGTGCACCAGACAATGTTTGCCTGGATCAGCTAGAGAAGTGGTATGTTCATCTCCACCTGGTTACGGTTTATCCGTCATCCCTCTGTAAATGACTTTTTAAGCTGTAAAAAAAAACACATAGCCATTATTTCAATTTTTAAACTTTTGAGTCAGAAGAAATTGTGAAGCTGTTTCATAGTTGAATTTTGAGCCTGCTCCAAATCCACCACCAGTCTTTCACCACTATGGTCTTCACTTGTTGTTTTTCATTTTGTAAGACCTGTGTGAACATCATCTCTTTTGCTCTTTTCGTGTTGTTTTGTAGGTTCACCTGTGTGGCAGTGAGTCTGTTCCAGGTGCGGGAGTTTCTTAGTAAGCTGGAGGAGCTGGTAGGAAAAGTGTCCTACGACAACGACCCTATAAAGGCCCAGAGACCTGCGCTGCAGAGGAGAGCAGAAACTCTTCTGAATCACCTACTCAAGAGGTCTCACTTTTAGGACAAAGTTTGTCACACTCTCTTGTAGTGATGTTTTTATGGTTTCATTATGAAATTCACTGACATTATTTTTTTTAACTGGGTCTTGAAGTTCTTTTGTGGTTGAGACTCAGCCATCCATGCCTCAGGGGAAAGGACCCCTGGTTCTCCGCACCAATGTCCAGTTCTCCGTCAAGACCAGGTCAGTGTATCACTCCAGGTAATCCTTACTGACCTATGACCTTGTGATAGGTTAATCTGCATCACTTTTCATAATTAAATCTGTAGTAATTAGTATGATAGTTGTGCATTTTGAACCACTGACAAGACATTTGAAAGAGTGCAACAAACCTTCAAAGTTCAAGGTGTTTATTTGAACAGGGTCATTGTGCAATTATGCATGTGCAAACAGAATGTAAACAGTACATCACATATTTCCTGGTAATAAACTCCTCAGCTGTTTAGGAGTCTGATGGCAGAGGGAAAGAAAGAGTTTTTCAGTCTAGTGGTCCTACATTTCACACTTCTGAACCTCCGGCCAGAGGGTAGGGAGGTGAACAGTCCGTGCTGGGAGTGGGTGGGATCTTTGAGGATGGAGGCAGCTTTCCTA